ACCATCTTTCCTTCCTGTTGCTCATCCACTCTTTCTGCCACACCCACGGGGAGTCTGTCAGCTCGGCCTGCCCCTCCAACTCGAAACCAGACACACTGCCATCCTGTCCGTGACGATGCGTGGCGACCCTACAGGACAGGGCAGAGCTGCCCCCGGGGGTCTCTGAGACTAACTCTTTACAGGAGTAGAAAGTCTCATCTTCCTCCCAAGGAGTGGCTGGTGGTTTCGAACTGCGGACTTTGTGGTTAGCAGCCCAATGCATAACCATATGCCACAAATACCTACAACCTGGTCTCTCCTCCCCACCTCCACTGTTAGCTCACTGGTCTTAAGGAGAGGATTTTGCCAACCTCCATGCTTGCCCACTGCCATTGGACGTCCTGACTCACAGGGACCCTATAGGACATAGAACGACTCCTTAGGGTTTCTGGGACTAAATCTTTGTGAGCAGGCAGCCTCATCTTTGCTGGTTGGTGTGTTTGAACTGCTGACATTGTGGTTAGCAGCCCAGTGCTTAAACCGCAGTGCTACCAGGGCTCCTAACACAGCTCATAATTCTGGGTGCCCTTCCAGCTCTTCGTTGTAACACATGTGATCATGTCTGGGACTTGCAAGGGGTGGAAAGCTACAGCCAAGCATGAGGTAAGCAGGCCTGCATGCTGAAGACGGTCTGTGTAGGACAAAGGTCCTCTATGGGACCGGGACTGTCGGTACCAGTGCACCAGCAAGAACAGCACCGCAGGAACTCACCGCCTGGGTTTCATGTGCACCGACATGCCCTGTACAGGCTTCCAGCATTGTCTCCTGGACCACGTATAACAAGCACAACAAAACTGGAACTGCCGTCAAGTGGCCTTATAGGGCAGGGTAGACTGCCCCTGTGGGTTTTCTTTATGAAAACAGTAAGCTTAGTCTTCTCTGAGTAGCTGGCGGTTTCGAACAGCTGATCCTGCGGTAAGCAGTCCACGGTGTACCCATTAGGCCACCAGGGTTCCTCTAGAATATAGTAGGCACTCCATAAGTATCTGCTGAGTGACTGACTGCAACAGTGTCGTAGAGCCCTGGCTTGGCTGGGGACTCACTAAGCTCCTGATGCCTCCTCACAGACAGCCTCCGATTCCGCCTCTGAGAATGGGGGGCCGTGGGCTTGCCTCACAGTGCTGTCGTGAGGAATGACTGAGGTGACGTGCCATCACATGTCTGGTCTAGGGACTGGCCAGCAGTGGCCAGCAGCAAGGGCTCACCAAGTGGCAGGTCCCTTGTACATTCCTGTCTCTCCCTATCCCCCCACCCCCAGGCCTGGCACTATGCTCTGCTCCTCTCCCACCCCGGCGTGACAAAGCCTTGGTCTTTGGGTAGCCGGGTTCCTGAGAAGTGGGGGTGTACAAGAGGGATTTGGGCAGGGTGGGGGATGGGAAGAGAAGAAAAATTCCCTAAAGGACTGGCCCCTGATGAGTGGGAGGGTGTGGCGGTGGGTGGTGTGGGTGGTGGGAGGGGTTGGTAACATCTTCAAATCCCAAGTTCTCACTCAGTCTCTCTCTGGGAGGCCTTCCCTGGACTTGCTCTGCTCTGACCCTGACTGTGGCCACAATTGCCACCATTGTCCCGTCTGCCTAAGACTGCCACCTGCCCTGTGGGGCCGTAGGAGGGGCACCCAGCAAATGCTGAGTGCATGCATGCATGCATGCATGAATAAAGAGTGCCCATGGGACTTTGCTCCTGTGCGTGGACTTCCAGGGGTTTTGCCCCTGTTGCTGCTCAGGATTGTTCTGATGGCCCCTGCTTTGTAGGGGTGGTACTTACTCCACCGCCTTTATGCTAGACCTCACCAGGAGGCTGGCCGACTGGCAGTACTGGGATTTGACCAGTGGAGGGCAGCAGTGTCCCAGCCAGACGCCTGGTCGGAAGCTTAGCATTTTTCTTATGGGGCTCTGGCTGTACTGGAGCACTACACTGCTATCTGCCCCTAAAAAGATTTACAGCCTTAGTAGGCTTGCGTTTTCCTTAAGGAGCCCTGGTAGTGCAGTGGTTAAGCAGTAGACTGCTATTGGAAAGCCCAGCAGGTCAAATCCACTGTGGAAGAATGCTACAGCAGTAAGGACTTACAACTTTGGAAGGAAAACGCTGTAGGGCCACCATGAGTCTGAACAGGCTTGATGGAAGTGGATTTGATTTGACTTTGGCTTGGGGCCTCCTTAGGAGCCATGGTGACACATATATAAAAATGCCTGGCTGCCAACCCCAAGGTCAGCAGTTTGAATCCACCAGCTGCTCCCCAGGAGGAAGACATGGGGTCTTCTTTCAGCAAGGCGACAGCCTTGGAAACCCTAGGGGGCATTTCTACTCTGTGTGGGAGGGCTGCTGTGAGTCCGTATTGACTGGACAGCCCTGGGGGCTTGTGGGTTGTCCTTTGAGACCGGTGTCTCATTTTCTCCTGGGTGTACTTACAGAGCTTCAGCCCTGCCGGGACCTGACTGCGGCCTGTCCGTGGCAGATCAGACCTCTTCACTCAGTCAACCCGGTCCAGGTGTCTGCCAGCCCCGCCCGCCCCCCAATGCAGACAATTGGATCTTAAGTGCAGAGGGACCAGGAGACAAGGCTGGGAGCTTCCTGCCCCCCTGGGGGCACACAGGGCTGGGCGAAACCAGCTTTCCAGTGTGTAAAACATACAGATACAAGGTTTCCTCCTTCCTCTGCCCCCCAGCATGGTTGTGCTGCAGCAGCAGCAGTGTCTGGACCCCTCCCCGAGCCCAGGCCGACTTTGCACTTCTCCTCAGACCCATTTTCTCTCTCTCTCTCTCTCCAGTTGGTGTTCTATTACTGGGCTCTGCCATCTCTCTCCTGGCATAGCGGTGGGCAGAGGGTGTTGGGAAACTCTCTGGGGGTGGGTGGGGGCTCACCTGGCGGCTGGGGCCCTCCTCGCGGAAGATGAAGGGGCTGTGGAACTGCCGCTGCAGGGCCGCGTGCAGTGTGATTTTCAGAGACTTGTACTTGAGCTGCGCAAACAGAGGCTTGGTCAGAGTCTGGCCCAGAGCAGCAAGCTCCTTCCTGCCTCCCCCGTGGGAGCTGCCACAGCACCCACTCCTTCCAGCCCAGGGGCCCCACTCACTGCTTTTAGAGACTTCAGCCACAGGTTCCCCAGCAGGCGGAAACTGCTATCCTGGTTCGGGGCCAGTCTGACGTTGCAGTTGATGGACACAACATCAGAGTTGCTGTGATTCTGAAAGAGGAAACGGTCTCGGGGTGAGCAGAGGGGGGTGGCCAGCCCAGTGAGGAACGAGGACGTGGGCAAGACCTTGGGTCACCAGAGATGGCTGCTTGGCCAGGCTCCTGGGAGGGAGGGGCAGGGGAGTAGGGGTAGCCGAAAGTCAGGTGGATATGTCTGATCATCTGCTTGAAGTGGAGCGTCATGGCCAGGCTGGGCCCATTCCAGGAAGAGACGTTTGGTTCCACATTGGGAAGTCCCTCACTGTCACGACCATACAGGGAGCTTCAAAAAGTTCGTGGAAGAACAGCATGAAAAGATCCTGGAATTTGTCCACGAACTTTTGGAAGCCCCTTTGTACCAATAAAAAGTCCTATGATCGCGACAGATGAAGTCAGAACTCCCAGGTAAATTCCTGAATCAGATCAAAGGGTATTTATTAAACCTGTCAGCGAGTCTCATGTTTAAATAATGAAACAGGATCAAATTGCCACGTCTTCTGCTTTCTCCCAGGTCCTAGCCAGAGCAGGAAGGCGAGAAAAAAGTTTCATAAGGTCTCATACAGATTGAGAGGAAAAATGAAAACGGCAGTTGTTGACAGTGGCATTAATAGAAAGCCCCAACAAATCTTCAGATGAGTAATTAATGTATTCAGTGAAAGCTGTGTTGCTGTCTTGCTGCCCCCAGTCCCTCTCCACCCCGGCCCCCTCCCGCCCCCCGGGAAGAAGGCCCCTGAAGCAGCTGCGCTTTCTGTCTGGATGATGCGGGGCCAAAGCCTGCTCAGAACTGGGCATTTGGAGGCAGAGCAGACCCTGAGAATAGAACCCCGGACTGCTCTTCCTATCCAGGGCAGAGAGGGCCCAGCTGACGCAGTGGCAGGAGCCATGGATGTACTGGCCTTGACAACTGCTCTGTCTGCAAGCGGCCCTCTCTCTGCATGTGCTCATCCCACCGCCCCACCAGCCCTGCTCTGGCACTCACCAGCAGTGGCCAGTGGCTCAGGTCCTCCTCGGAGGGTGTGTGTCGGTACTCGGTGCTGTTCCCCCAGATGTTGCAGGACGCGTTCCCCTGCACAGAGAACACACGTGCACAGCCTCACCACCAGCTCCGCCCACTTGGACTTGGCTTTCCGGAGAGGGCCCCTTCACCTCTTGCCATGGGAGATGCAGCTGGCCCAGGGCCTGGGAGAACGGGGCCAGGGTCACGTAGGGGACCTGTTCTCTTGTCCCCTCCCTGAAGCCAGAGGGCATCGGTACCTGGTCCGTGAGGAAGTCCCGTAGCGTCAGCAGGCGGTTGCCGCCCCTGGTGGCAATGGGGAGGGTGATCTTCAGCATCACCCCGTGCATGGGGAACAGGCCCAGGTTCTGGAGCTGTGTAGCCAGAGATGGGGAGGGGTTGGCACCCAGCTGCAGTTGGAGCAGGGTGGAGAATGAGGGGTGCAAAGGGCCCATCCAGGGCCCTGGGGGTTGAATGGGTGGGAGTGGGGGTGGGGTGGCATGTGAGAAAGCACCCAAGCAGCTGGGCTACTGGGGCCGCTGCCCTTTGCAGTCGTGTGGGACATTGTGTGGCCTGGTGCAGGTGGGTGCTGGGCACAGGCCAGGAGTGGGGGCTGGAGGGCAGGGGGGTGACAGCCCCTCATTTACGACCAGAGAGAACTATGGATTGCTGAGGGGATGAACAATGAGCGTGTGTTAGTCTGCATTCTGGCGACGATGCTCTGTGCCCAAGCAGCAGTGCTTACTGATGGTGCTTTGGGGTCAGAAAGAGGGGATCCGTATCGCGGGGTGGCTGCCACGTATGACCCCTGTGACCTTGAGCAGGCTGCTAACCCCCTCTTGGACAAGCAGTCCAGGCTGTGGTGTGTCTGAAATGCCAGCTGCACACAGTTGTAGAGGAGCTGATACACTCAGAGCAGTTTCGGGGTGGGGGAACTCGGCCCTACCTGTTGGAGACTCTGAGGGAAGCTGGCTGCAGACCCTCACTCTCCCTCCTTTCCACAGGGGAGGCCTGATGCCTGTTCCCTGTGAGGAACGCGCGGAAGGCTAGCAGAGGTCAGGGGACATGCTGCCCGCGGGGCTCCTGCACAGGAGGGCCCGCTCTCTCCCCATCTCCCTGCTGCCGGAGTGAGCACCGAGGTAGAGCAGAGCAGCAGCCACCTTGGTCTGAGGGGTGCCCTGAAGCTGTGAGCTGAGAGACAGGAGGCCAGTCTGGGCTGACTGGGAAGCTGCCCACCCTGGACTTGCTTTATGGAGGAGAAGACTCCCCAGTGCGATTGACCCCGTTCTGGTTTGCCGTCATCGTTGTGTTTTAAATGTCTTAAACATTATGTGCAACTGACCCTAATCCTCACGGACATACTTGGTCCCACCTCCTTTTTCCAGAGAAGTGAGAACCCAGAGAGGGGAAGTGCCTTGCCACCCACAAGGTAGCAGGATGGAGGCGGGACGCGGGCAATACGATGACTACAGATTCCCTGTCCCCTAGCTCCTGTCCTTCACCCTCAGCCAGCCCCGCCCCACCAGTCCTACCTTGAAGACGCAGTTGAAGGGAGGCCCCATGCCATCATAGTTTTCCAGCGAGCTGTTGGGCTTGACCTCATAGTGGCTCAGACTGCTGTTCCTGCAGGGTCAGAGGACAGGGCTGCCGTGAGCTCCAGGTTGTCAGGACAAAGAAATGCAGGAAAGTGGGTGTGGACATGAGCCTGCCAACTCCTGAGACCAGGAAAAATAGGTTCACCTCATTACCCACTGGCTGCCTGCCTGTAGTGCTGGCAGGATTCAGAGGCCTGGTCTGGGCTTAGTGGGAATGCACTCTGAGATCCATTAGCAATGTCTGCCCAGCGAGTGGGAACGCAGCGGGCAGGGGCGAGAAGACAGCTCTTCTCCCGTGTGCCCTAGATTTTGAGACTGTACCTGTCCACTGTGCACTGCAATATTGTCCAGCCTCTAGGAGTCGCAGGGTATGGGTGGCGGGGAGGCAGGTCTGAGCTTGCTTTCTGTGCTTTGGCCCTGAGTTCTCCATCCACATGGGAGCTCTCAGAGGTGGGAGGTGGGTGGGGAGCTGACTCCCCATCAGACTGGGGCCAAGGGGAGTGGGGAGGTTGGAAAGCAGAGCAGTGGAGGAATATTTTATTACTGACATTGTTTAGATATGTTGGTGCAGTTGACTTTTCATAGGTGTTAGGACTGTTTTTATTTTATTTTTATTTAATCATTTTATTGGGGGGCTTTTACAACATTTCCAAAACGATTTCTTTCTACTTGAGCCCTTGGTCTCAGCTCTTCTTTTCCCCCTCCCTCTTCTACCCTTCCACCCTACTGAACCCTTGATCAATTATGTATGATTGTTGTTATTTCGTGTCTTACACTGTCTTGTGACTGTTTTTAAATTCTCTATAGACAATTCTTCCACGTGTTGCCTAGCCTGGGGCAGATAACTCCTACAGACCCCCATTCACCCTTGCCATTGCTGGGAGCTCCCCAAGGGCCAGGCCTGGGTCTCCTCCTTCCCCTACTTTGCCTCCCTCCTTACCAGGGATCCTCCAGGGACACAGGCCTGGGCTGGGGCTTGGGCCCTCTGACCACTAAAGCCCTGTAGAGCAGGGGTCCTCAAAGTTTTTAAATGGGCCAATTCACTGTCCCTCAGACCTGTTGGAGAGCCGGACTATAGCACATATCTTATTTCGAAGTGAAAAAACAAACGGGACAAAAACACCCAGCGGGCGGGCCGGATCAATGTTCTCTGCGGGTGGCCCGCGGGCCGTAGTTTGAGGACCCCTGCTCCAGAGGGTGCTCCCATCTTGAACCTGCCTCTTCCCAGTCCCTCCCCGGGGGCAGGGCTGCCTGCAGCCAGGCCCACCTGGTGAAGAGGATGTCAGCCTCGTACTTGAGGTGGACGCGCAGGAGGGCTGTGTTGTCTTCCTTGGTGCTCTCGAGCTCATCGCTGTCGCTGTCAGGAGATTGGGCAGAAGCTCAGCCGCACAGCCTGGCTTTCTGGCTGTCACGGGCGGGGTGGATGGCGGACTGGAGGGTAAGCACTGGGACCCAGGGAGGGGGCCTCAGGCGTCCTGCGGGGCCACGGACGGCAGGTGGCTGCTGTGCCTGTTGCTTTCATGGGCGTAGCACCTCTGGGTGCATGGGACCGGGGAGAGACTTGGGACTAAGCTTGGAGGTCCCCCCTTGCCAACTGGCTTCTTGTCTGAGCTGCTCCTCTGCCAGCTCATGAAGCTGGGCGATGGCAGGGGGAAGCTCATGCCCGCAGCAGAGGCCTGCTGCCCTGTGAGGGAAGGGAACTTCGAATCCAGGGAGAAAGTCCTCCTCACAGCTCCAGAGGGTTGGCTGCAGGGCCCTGCTGCTGTGGAGAGGCTGGTGGGTGAAATTCACAGATATCGCGGGAGCTCTGTCACATGCCCTTCCCTTCCCAGCTGAGCACAGGGACCTACCAGCTCAAATCATTTTCACAGAGTAAATGACTCTGCTCGCTGCACACACTGTCTGATTCCCTCGGGGAGCCTTACTCCAGCATGGTTGTTTCCTTAGACAGGACACACAACAGACACCCCCACAGTGTCCCTCCCCCAGACCAAATCCCCACCCACCATGGTGTGCACCTTGGCCACGCCTGTGCTGTGTGTGGCAGGACTGGGCTCTGAGTGGAGGCAGCAGGGGGCCTGGGAATGCCATGGGTGACCCCCAGGGGATGGGGGGTAGGGTGGGAGAGAGACACTCTGGACTGTGTGTGTGTGGGAGTGACTCTAGGATGTGTGTGTGTGAGCACATGCGTATGTGAGGGTGTATATGTGTGTATACGGGTGAGTGACTCAGAAGTGTATGTGTGTGAGCACATGTGTTTATGAGGGTGTGTGTATGTGTGCGTGTTCATTGGCCCAGAGAACTTATTTCTCAGTGTGGGAAAGTTCTCGGGGGGATTTGGCTGTTGCTGAGCCCCAAGTGGACAGCATCCCGCTCTCTGCCCACAGGGAAAGGATGAGGGTGACTCCTGGTATCAGGTGAGTACAGACAGGTGGCTCGCACAGGGAAAGAGACCACCGCAGAACACACAGCAGGAGTGCTGCTGGTTACATGCTGTGTGTCGGGAAATTTACTGAGCCTCTCTGAGCCTCATTTGGGGTGGGGCGGGGAGGGACCCTGCTTTGCCTAACTTAAGGGGCTGTGGTTGAGGGCTGATGCCCTGTAAAGAGCCCAGGTCCTGTGTTCAGTGGCTCACTGGAAGGCTGGGTGCGAGCCCACGCAGAGGCGCCTTGGGAGAAGGGCCACTTCTAAGCAGCAGCCAGAGCACCAGGCGGAGCGCAGCTCCACTTGGGCGTGACTGGGCACGGGATACAGTGCCTGCAGGGACTAGTGGCAGGCCGCAGAGCAGGAAGAAGCTGGTGCCTGACCTGGCCATGGCCAGCTGGATCTCCAGGTGGTTCAGGAAGATGGATTTGCTGAACTCAAAATCCAGGCGGAAGGACACCTGCAAGAGAGAAGTCAGCTGAGCAGGGCAACTTGGGGCTGTGTGTCTGGGCCTTATGTGGGTGTGGAATTGGTGGGGCAGGAAGGCCAAGTACTGCCTGCAGTAATGTGATTGAGTGGGGGCTTAGGGAGCAGCAGCCCAAAACAAGTTTGTGAATGGAGTGCCTTGTCTGAGGGACCACTGTGCCTCCTCTCGTTTTTAAGTGAAGGCAGACAGGGCACGCTCTGCAGGAAGTGTGTGTGTGTGTGTGTGTGTGTGTGTGTGTGTTTTCCTACCCCACACTTTTTAGGGCTTCCCACTTGGGAGAAAGGCGGGACTTCCTACTCCCCCAATGAATCAGTCCAGGGTCGGCAGGAGTCAAGAATGGACTTGCTGCCAGAGTGTGCCTTTTGTTTGTGTGCACATAGCAGGTGCTCACGAAGGTGAGTTCCTCTGTTGGCCCCTCATTAGCATGGCAAAGAGGGTGGACACCTGAGAAGTTTCTTAGGATAAAGGACAGTGGGGCTGCCCAAGAAGGGGTGGGCTGCCAGCCCTGGGAATGGCTAAATAATCGATTGTTTGAATATCGCTTAGTGGGACAAAAATCAATAACATTGAAAAGGTATAATGCCCCCTAGTCCCCAAGCTCCGCCCCTCGATCTCCCCTCTGTAAACTCCCCTATCTTTTGCCTCCCAATGACCAACCCACCCTGCCTGTCACCCCCACACTGCCCCAGCCTGCACCTTGGCCTTGGCCCTGAAGAAGGGGTAGCTGATGTTACAGGTTTTCCTGTGGTATCGCCGCTCCTCATTCGCACACTCGATGCTGCTGTCAGAGTCCTCCTGGGGGAGGGGAGGCACAGGGACAGCGGTGAGGTGGGGGCTGAGACCCTTCCCTGCTCTCAGGACCACCCCACGGCCCCTGCTGTGCACTGGGAGCAAGATGTGTGATGGAGGGGTGGCATTGGGGGACGGAAGGGAGGCACACAGGCCTATTGGGTCGTGGGGGCAGGAAGTGAGCCGGTAAGCTAGGGGCTGGGACGGGAAAGGCAGCTCTGCCTGGGGCTCTTCTGCCTCCCTAGCTCCCACCCTCTGCTGGACCACACGTCTCTCTAGCACAGGACATGGCTCCCTTTGAGCCATGAAATGAGGTTTCTGGGGTCTCACATGATGGAATCCAGAAAAGCAGTGGGCAGGGCGTAGGCTGACCTGGTCAGGGCCTGTTGGGGACATTTTCCTGAGGCCCCGTCCAGCAGCGGTCAATCTTCCCTGCTGAGAGCAGAGAATGATGCGTTCTGTCTCAGCCCAAGGTCTCCTGGCTCTCATTCACTGCCACTGAGTCAACTCCGCCTTTAGAACTGCCCCTGCAGCGGGTTTGAACTGCTGACTGACCTGTGGTTGGCAGACTGAAACAGAAGCCATGTTGCCTCCAGGGCTCCTTCATCCCTGCTCACTACAGGGGGCTCCCCCCAGTTGCAGACTGGCCTCTCCCCCATATGCCAGCCTTGCTGAGAAGCAAGGAGTGTATGAATATCCCTGTTTGCAGGCTGGGGAGGGGGCAGCCGTGGGACTGGTTGGAGCCCCAGCTCAGCTTCCTTACTGGCCGGGGCCCCACACTGCAGCTAAGGCCTGGAGCCCCATCTGGGCTGGGGGTGCTAAGGAGGGGCGGCTGTGCCCTCTGAAGCATCCCTCTCCCTCAGGTGATAGTCATTCTGCAGACAAGTTGTGCACCTGTGGCCAGCCTGCCCTCCAGGGCAGGGCCTGCATGTGCTCCAGAGCCTGGGGAGCACTCCTGACCTCTGCTGCCGCCGCCATCTGACTGGCAGGCAGGGGGAGGTAGGCAGCAGTCTCCTTCTCATCTCCTAGGGCTTCCAGTACCTTCAACACTCCCTATCTCTGAATAGCAGGCGGCTGGTCCCTGCGTCTAAGGGGGAGGCACCTCCAGACAGCCTGGCCTGTGGGAGTCAGGCACATTGGCCTAGCCTGGATGCCCCCCGGCACAGGCGAGGGAAGGAGCTTCATGCTATGGGTTGGCCACACCCTCCTTTTCACAGGCCTCAGTGTCCCCATGTATTAAATGGGGCCAACACCTCACTCATTCAAGGGCTGTGAGGATTAAATGCTTTCACACCTGTAAATGCCTATTTCAATGCCCAGAAGATTACAACCCTCAAAATGTGGCAGCTCTCATGGTTCTTATCTGTACGTGCGGTGCTTGGCACGGCCTGGAGACAGGCATGCAGGACACAAACGGGGATGTAGCGCCTGCTGGTATAGGCTCTGGTGGGAAGGGCCTGCAGGTAGGTGCATGTCTACGGGGCAGGTGGTCGGCCTGCGTTTTTGCACGTGTGTGCAAGAGCTCTGATGGTGCAGGAAGTGACACGTGGGGCTGCTCATCACAAGGCTAGCGGTTCAAACCCACCAGCAGTTCCAAGGGAGAAAGACGAGACTTTCAGCTTCTGTGAATATTTACAGCTTCAGAGACCCACAGGGTCAGTTCTACTCTGTCCTATGGGGTCACTGAGTAGAACCAACTGGAGGGCCATGGCAGTGCCTTGGCTTGAGCTTAAAGCACTGATCGGAAGGGCTTCCATACTCAAAGCAAAACATGGCTCATCATCAGACTATCAGAGTTGCTTCATCCCCATAAAGCCTCCCTTGACCAAGTGGAGGGTCAGCTGGACTGGGGGGTCATCTGACTCTCAGCCTCTGACCCCTCCCCCAAGAGGTGGAAAAGGAAGTGGAGCTTAAGCCCCCCTTGGGGTTGAGGGGAGGCACCCTCCGAAGGACGCAGGCTGTGGGCCCACCCCAGCTTGTCATTTCTCTCTCTGCCTCTGCTCAGCCCCCAAAGCCCCAAGCAGGCACAGGGCTGGCCTTGTCAGGTTTAGGCCAGGCAAGCATGTGACGCAGGCTTGACAGAGCTGACGGGCCTAACAGACACACGCCCTGGGCTGTGAGAGCAAGGGGGGGGGGGGCCCTCCAGCTCCACTCTGGCAGTAGAGGGTGTAGCAGAGCCCTGACATGGGGCTCTAGGGGTCTGTTGAGGGGGTGGTCTCAGTTCTTTGGCTTCCCACCCCTCTGCAGGAATGCTCCTGTGTGTGTGTGTGTAGGGGAGGGTGTGTGTGTAGAGGTGAGGACTGCAGCCCCCCAACACCTCGGTCCCAGCTGTGCTCTGAGCCCCAAGTGCACGAGACTGAGGAATGTGAGGCCAGGGCCTGCCTGAGGGGACTTTGTATCCGAGCCCTAGCACCTGACACGGTTTCCTAAACAAACATGTCCCGAGGGCCCTCTAAGTGCCCAGCCTGGCCAAGACAGACCACTGGTCCTTTCCTCAGGACTTGTGCCAGCTGGGTCAGGGGGCGAGGAGGAGGAACCGTGCAGAGGATGTGTGTGCGCCGTGATGCGTGTGTGCTTGGGCCCCGGGTGATGGGCCTGATGATTCTTTGCAGCAGGACGCAAACGCACCTTCCCCGGCCTCTCCACAAAATCTCTGGGAGCTTGAAGACACCCCGTGGCCATCCAGGGCGGTGAGCGAGGGGACAGGACCGTCCAGGATGGGTTTGGGGGTGGGCTGCAGGGGGCCGGGTCTGGCAGGTGTTCTTAGGCTCCTGGGCCCGCGCTGGCCGCCGAGGTCTCACCTTGTGGATCAAGCTGGCGAACTGCAGGTTTGCCGACTGGGAAATGTTCAGGCGTGTGTTGTAGGCGTTCTCGCCCCGGTTCTCCAGCGTGGCCTCCACGGCCACCCGGCGCCGCGCGCTCTCCATGATGAAGACTGCCGTGTCAAAGGACTGCGCGTAGGCGGCACAGTCCTGCGGGGTCTTCCCCAGCACCCGCTGGCAGTACTCCCTGCGGGAAGCAAAACCCCGGGCTCCGGTGGGAAGGGCGTGGCTGGGAATAACGCCGAGCAAGCATCCTCAAAGACCCTGGCTGCCCCTCTCATAGCTGTCCCCCCAAAGATAAACATAAACTCCTGGTCGGTTAATTGCTTCTTCATTGCCCTGTAAGGTTTGGGTGAGCTATTTAAAGATATATATAAAACCTTCTGTAACTCATCTCAAAGTTGGATCAAACTTGAACATAACTGATTTGCAAATACAATGCCTAAATCTAAACTATGGTATCATTCATTGTTTTGCCTTCAGTGCTACTTTGTTTCTCCAGGGGCAAGGGGGCAGCCTGCTTGTCCTTTCTGAGTCCCCTTCCCATCAAGCCCAGCTGTGCAGCCAGTGAACCCTGAGCTCACCTGGTCTGGAATTTTAACCCCCCGCCCCTAACCTCTATCTTTGTCTGTTTTGTAGGGCGGGCTCCCCCCCACCGGATTCCTGTCTAAACAAACGCTGAGGAAGTCAGACTGAACTAGTGTTTCCTTTCCCGGAGGTGAGAATGAACTGAAGCTCACAGAGGGCAGGGGATTGCACAAGATCACAGCCACAGGTGAGCGGCAGAGCCTGGGCTCCGACAAAGCTGCCTCTGAGAACCAGTCCAAGGACCTGGAAGCCCAGCAGGGAGGGGACAGGGAGGGCGGGGAGAGCTGACTCACAGAGCAGTGGGCAGGTCGCTCCGAGCGTCCAGCACAAGGTCCGGGACGCAGTGCTCGTCCTGGTTGCAGCCATTCCAGAAGGGCACCTGGGCGGGGAGAGCCAGGTGTGGGCAGGTGGAGGTGGGGGGTTCGGGAGAACCAGTTGTGGGTGGCTGGGGTGGGCGGTAAAGCCAGCTGTGGGCTGCTGGGCAGGGCACCACAGCCTTCAGCTATGGCTTTGTCCCCAGCCATGCCACCCCTTGCCTCCACAGCTCCTCTCTGCTCCCCAATGGACACGGGCCCTGCCTTTTGTGTCCCTTCCGCAGCACCACCTGTATGCTCTTGTAGGGATACTGTGGCTCACAGCTCCACTCAGCAGAAGGGTCCCCTGCAGTCAGGCAGCACCGAGCTGGGGGAATTATTCCAGGCAGCAGCTTTAGGGGGCAGGGCCTAGGGTACTGGGGCTCGAGGCTGACAAAATATGTGTGAAGGGACAGAGAAGTTCAGGGGAGGAAACAGCTATTCACACCCATGGGCAGTCAGTGAGGCTTTGGATCATGTTGTCTCCCCCCCAGAATATGTATTGGAGTTGGAGCCCTGGTGCTGTTCTGGGCTAATTCTAACTGCAAGGCTGCTGGTTCAAACCCCAGCTACTTAGTGGGAGAAAGCTGACAGTGCCTGCTCCTGAAGACTTCCAGCCTTGGAAAGCTGACCTGGCTCAAAGGCTTTTTTATATCTGTGGATGTAGTGCTAACTGGGATTCGGGTTTGCTGTTGTGTTCATGGTATTTACTCAGCGTGAAGCGTGTTTTAAATCTAATCACGTTTAAGCTATACTGTAAGTAGATTCGGTATAACACACTGTTGCTGAGTTAATTTGAACTCACAGTGACCTGACAGGGCAGGGCAGAGCAGCCCCTGCCGGATTCCCTGGGCTGTCAATCTTCACAGAGGAGCCCTGGCGGCATAGTGGGCTGTGATCCATGAGGTCAGCAGTTTGAAACCCCCAGCCCCTCCACGAACAACTACAGTTTAGGTAACTCACTAGGGCCATGTGAGTCTGTATTGACTTGATGGCAGTGAACTTAAATCATCACAGAAGCAGATGGCACATCTATTCCCCATGGAGCAGAGTGGCTGGTGAATTTGAACTGCCAGCCTTTTGATTAGCAGTCCAATGCTGAGCCCAGTGGGCCAGCACACATGGAGGGAAAATGCCATGTGAAGATGGGAGAGAAGCTGAGGACACCAGGCCTAGAGAAGCCCTGAGTGAGAGCGAGAGCCTCGAAGGAACGGGCTCCTCCTCCTCAAGGAGCCCTGGTGGCACAATGCTTACACACTGGGCTGCTACTTGCAAGGTCAGTAGTTTGAAACTACCGGCCACTCCCCAGGAGAAAGACGGGGTTCCTACTCTTGTAAGGAGTTACAGCCTTGTCTCATGGGGTCGCTAGGGGTTGGCATTGACTCCATGACTGCTTTCTTTGCTGAACTTCACCTGAAGGTCAAATAGTAGCCTAGCAAGCAGCTTAAATTGCTGCCACCAAGTTGATGCAGACTCACGGCAACCGTGTAGGACTGAGTAGAACCGGCCCTGTGGGTTTCCAAGGCTGTCAATCTTGAAAGGGGCAGACAGCCACAGCTTCTCCCTCAGAGCGGTTGGTGGACTTGAACTGCTGACCTTGTGATTAGCAGCTTCAGCAGCAATCATTTAGTCTTAGGCACTGGCTTCTGCTAGACTCTAACAGTGATTTTCAACCTGTGGGTCGCGACCCCTTTAGGGGTCAAATGGCTTTCACAGGGGTCGCCTGATTCTTAACAGTAGCAAAATGGTTGTTATGATTGGGGGGCGGGGGGTGTCACCACAACATGAAGAACTGTATTAAAGGGTCACAGCATGAGGATGTTTGAGAATCAGCTATGTGCAGCCAGTTCAGAAGAGCAGGGACTTAGGGTCTGATGAGAACTTACGGCAGTCTCAGGCTCCACCACCCAGAAGCAGCCCTGGCACACATCCTGATGCCACCGTCTGAGAAAATCACGTGACAATGAGCTCTAGAGCCCATTCTCACGATCCCTTCTTGGGAATGCTTCCCATGCTTTCAGGGCAGACACTGATCGTATGCATTCACAACCTAGATATGGTTACACTAACTGGTGGTGTTGCCTGGCACATTTAAGTGGGGGGTCATCCAGGGCAAACTGGAGGGCAGCGACAGTCGCTGCCCGGGACACAGGGGTCTCCAGCTCAGAGCGCAGTGCCCTGGCACCTTTCTCTCCAGCCTCCCTTTCACAAGGCGGGTTTGCAGCAGCCAGGCCATAGACGGCAAAGAAGTCAGTGAAGCCCGGTAGAGCTAGTGAGCAAACTGTATCTTCCAAATCCCACCTGTGGTGCCCTTCTCGCCCGGAGGCTTACCCTAGAGGTCAGCAGTCTTCTATCAGCCTGGTCCTGAGCACTCAGTTCAAGAAGCTTGAACTATACAATGGCCTTCAGAAGAGCGATCGCAAGGACCACTTCAATGTGATAAGCAACCATTGCACTCATCCACAGAACTGAGAGCATTGCCTCCAGGGGCCAGCTGTCACAGTGCTAGAACCAAACATGTGCAGACTGAGCCCGGGAAGGAGGGATCTAACTTGCGGATGAACAAGATTTCCCCCCACTCAGCTGCTACTTGAACCTCCCATGATCTGTCGGCAGACTGTCTTTGGTCCAGCTCTCTCTCACCGTTTTTCTCACTTCCAGGCCTCACCTGTGCTATGCTCTCTTCTGGAAGAAAAATCCACCCTTCCCGTCTCTGTGTGGCTGAATGGTGTCTATTCCTAAGGCCCAGTCCAAAGTCACCTCCTCTAGGAAGCCCTCCCTGGGCTCTCCTTGGATTTCTAGGTTAGCCATCCCGAGTTTGCTGCTGAATGTTTTGTGTATATTTTTGTCAAAATTTAAAAAATACAAATGGTCTAAAATTGATTGTGGTAAAGATTGTGCAGCTCTTCCTGAGCTGTTGAATTGTAAGATCTATGGATCCAGCCCAGGTGAGAGAGCTGTGCCGTGGGCTCACCTGGGGAGGGGGAGGCTTCCCTGCCTTCCTTGGGGCACTGTGTGCCCAGCATGCCAGCACTTACCGAGACCCTGAGGGTCGTGGGCCAGCCATCGTCTAGGACAGGACCCTGGTCAGGGTCCTCCAGGGCATACTCTACTGAGAAGGCCACTGGCTTCACGTAGTCAGCAGTGTCCTGTTGGAAGGAGAGGAAGGAGTGGGGAGGGCGGGCAGGAGGGAACATGAGTCTCCGGGCCATGACCACTGACGCTGAGCTGGAATTCCCTCCTCTGACGCCAGGTGACAGATAGATGGTGGGGCTGCCAGCGGTGGATGGGGGCTTGCTCTAAGGGGCCTGGGGTTCAGCTTAGGCCAACTCAGTTCGACTCATCCTTCAACACAGACCTCCGTAGCCCCAAGTCCTCAGCCTCCAGGAAGCCTCTGACAGCCCCTCACTGCTCCGACCTCCTAAAGCGAGTTCTCAGGTGGATTTCAATGATCTGATGGCGCCACCCTTCTCTCCCCAGCGAGGAACAAGTTCAGTAAACACATTGAACAAATAGCATGAACGAAGCAGAGGCGACAGGCTGCCCCGTGCAGAGAAGATCAACAAAGTGGGTACTTAGAGCTGCCTAACAAATTCTCCTCGTGGCACCAGCAACTCCTGATGGATCAACTTCTTGGTATTAAGGGTGTGATTCTAAATTTAGGGCACGCTAGAACGCCCTGGGGAGCCTATTACTCCACCACTTGCTGGGCTCCATGAATTTCAGAGGCTGCGGCCTGAGGACCTGCCTTTCTGACGAGTGCTCTGGGCCTGCGCACACAGCTGGTTTGGGACTTCAGGGCACACACACACACACACACATACGTCAGAGGGGGTCACACATCGACAGACCTCAGGAATCTCCACCTGCTCGCTCTTCTCTCCCTCTGGCTAGTGACCCACTGGGCCCGGTTTGCCGAGTGCCTCTGCGTGCATCCAGAGACTTGGGTATTGGGTGCTTCTAGATAGGGCCCATTTGTCACCCTCTCCCTGGTTTGTAAGATTGGGCACCAGGCCACCACCCTGCGGGGCGGGCACCACTGGCTCACTCTCTGCCAGCTCCCCCTCACAGCTTGCCAAGCCTGGGCCCACCTCACCTGGCCGTCATCTCCACTCCAGCCCCCGCTGCCGGCCAGCCCTTCATTGCTAGACCCCCTACTGGGTTATGTGTTGAGTTGCTAACTGTAAGGGGAGCAGTCCCAAACCACCAGCCGCTCCGAGGGAGAAAGATGAGGCTTTCGACTCCCATAAAGAGTTATAGTTTTGGAAACCCATGGGGGCAGGTCTATCCAGCTGGAATCGACTGGTTTGGGGTCAGTTTGGCTGCAGTTCTCCCAGCTAGATCGCACTGAACTCCTGCCCTTCTCTGGATGGGGCTGAGGAAGCCACATCACAGGAGACGGGCGGGAGGGGTTTGGAGTAGCACAGTAAGGTGGGCAGTGTGTTCCAGGGACCTTTCTGTGAGGCACGCCGTGGCATCCAGAGTGACCCAAGTTCAGGACAGGGTCCCCGGGCTCTACCGCTGGGTTCCCTGACTCTCCCACAGCAGGTGCCCGTCTGCGGTGCAGCCTGGGTTCTGCTGAAGGGTTCAGGGGCACCAGGCTCACCAGGACATGAAAGTTGATCCTCTCACAGTGCTCCTGGCCAGAGGAGAGCAGGACAGTCCTGTGGGTGTATCGGTCCCCACCCTTGTCCAGGTGGGCTCGTGGAGTGTACCGTCTCTCATCCATGGTGGCATTGTACCTGAGGCCTGGAGGTGGAGAGAGGGCAGGGAGACCATGGAGATGGATGCATCTCCTCCCTTCTTCACCCCCTCCCTCCAATCTGGCTTTTACAATAGTCGCTGGACAGCCTGGCCAGGAAAGAGCCTCCCATCTCCCCCAGGGTGAGCCAGACTCTTCCCTGCAGATCAGGGTGCAGAGGGACAGTGGAAGAGCAGAAGGAGGCCGAGAAGGAAAACAGAGAAGGAGGAGACATGGAGAGAAAGGAGAGGAGACAGGATGGGGCCAGGGCGATGGTCCAGTGGGAGTCCCCCTCCCCCCCAACCGAGTCAGCACATTCCCCCATCCCTTCTATACTTGCCCAAGGTGCCCTCAGAGGCCATGCAGGGCCAGTTCCTGCCCACAGTAAGGGGACCAGCCAGACCCCCTGCTGGCTCTTCACACCTGAGACCCCGGCTGGAGGGGTGGCCTGCAGCCCTTCAGCTCAGCTGACTGAATCTCCACCAGCCCTCAGTCTGCTTCAGGCCCTCGAGTTTTCCTTCTTTTAGAGATGGAAGGCACAGAGAAGGCGTAGCCACCCGGGCCTGCCTTTGCTCTCTTCTCCCCTGGGACACAGGCCTGTCCTGCAGCTGGCTGGTCCTCCTCCTGGGTCCAGAAGCCGCTCTGCAGCCCCCATCCTCAGTGCTGGCCCAGCCGGGTTCCAGAGCCTACAGCTGCCACTTTGGGGCCTGTCTGGGCCCAGGGTAGTCCTGTGCAGGAGTCTGACCCCCAGAAACAGTCCTCTGCCTCACCCCCACTTCTGAGAGGTGGCCACTGCATCTGGGGTCTGTACTGCTCCATGCTTGGCTTCCAGGCCTTCCCTTGGGCCTCTGGGCCAGACTGTCCCTGGATGTAGGCTGACTTCATAGCTCCACCCATCAGCTTGCTTTGCTGCTTTCAGGCCCTTGTTTGGCTCCACTCTGTAGCCAGACTCCCTCCTCTGACCTTTGCTTCTTTGATCACCCCTCCCCTCTTGGAGCACACACCATGACCCCCAAAGAGACAGAGACTTAGTGCCTGTGCTCAGAGTACTGAGTGGGCCTCCAGCCCCCTTGTTGTTGAGTCCATTCCAATGCCGGGCTGCGTCATGACTTACAGAGCAGGGGTTTCTTGGCTCTAATCATATGGGAACAGATCCCCAGACTCTTGTTCCACAGCACTACCCGGTGGGTTTGAGCCACCAACCTTTAGGTTAGTAGTCGAAGGCGAACTGTCTGCACCTCTCCAGGACTGTAAACTGGCGTCTAGCAGGAGACCCTAGCACTCACCGCTCATTTCTGAGAAAGCCCAGGCTTTGGGGGGAGCAATTAGAAATCCTAGGGGGAGAGACTTGGTGGGGTAGGGAGGGCAGCAGAGCCTGGCTCACCGACAGTCTCCGCCTGAAAATACGGTGCCAAGAAGACAGGGGTGAAGCAAAGGAAGGCGGCCATGCAGGTGGCATCTCTGCCATTGCGTTTGCAGTCCCTGTGGAAGATGTTGATCTTGGGTGGCTCAAAGTGGAGGCTGGCATTGATCTGCACCACAGGGCGGGACCTGCAGGAGGAAGGCCAGTGAGCTGGGGAGGGGAGGAACCAGGTGACTACTGTGACCACGGGGATGGGGGGTAGCATGGAGAAACCACATGGGAATGAAATCTGCAAAGCCAGTACTGGAGGGCGAGGGGCTGGGACGGGGCTGGTCAGGCAGCAGAGTTGCCAGCTGCCAGAGAATCAGGTAAAGCCATAGACTAGTGGACCAGGAGCTCAGCACCTCATAGTCCCTTGAGGTGGTTCATCACTTCCCCAGGGTTTGTCCTCGCCACAGATGATATTTCTGTGCTTTTTGGTCACCTTTAAAGTGGTGATTCCCAGCCCCGGCAGTAGACAGGATCATAAGGAGGGTGGAGAAAAAATCCTGATGGCCACATTGCAGCTAATCCACTGCACCACAAGGACTCATTGTTTCCTGTAAGCGATTTAGTTTATGTATCATACTAGAGTCTCACTAGGCCATGTCTACTCCCTATCCTGGCCTCGGTCACTTGTATTGCTTCCTGGCTGGTGCTGACATAGCAAATAACTTTAACATGGCTTTGAAGCAGCCATCCACAGCCTCCAGTCCCTGACGTGTGGCTCAGCCTCCAGAAGATCATGGCATCTGCACACTGGGTCATGTTGCACCTGTGTGACTTTGCCTTTCCCAGGACCACCTAGAGGGGCCAGGGGACACTACCTGGGCATGTGGATCAGCTCAGGCTTTGGCCGTGGAAATAGGGGGTACAAAGGACATGGCTGTTGCCAGAGGCAGAGCTTCTACACTGCCTCTCTAGAGCCGTCCTGAGTTGTGGGACACTTAGCTGCAAGGCTGTGAAGCTGTGGCCAGCTCAGGAAGGCGCCCCTCTGATTGGCTCTCCTCTCCTGCTTCCCAGTTCCCTCCCACCTGCTCTGCCCCTTGCCCCACAAACACTAACACCTCAGCTTTGGCCATAGGAGCCCAGACTGCACCGTTTCCTCCAGGGAACTGTAATATTCTGGAGGGCCAGGGTTGCATTCTTTCCTCCACCCACCCACCCCCAACCCCCGAAGTCCTAGTTCAGCTTTGTTTAATGCCTTTTAACAATGGTCTGGGGCGTGGAATGGCACTCGTGTGGAGTTACATGCAGGGGAACAAAGAGGGCAAAGGTGCTGCCATCATGTTACCAGTGGTAACATTAAGGGGATGGGATGTGGAGTGGTTTTTCTTCTGTATTTTATAGGTTTTCTGTAAGTTATTAATATTTATGGTGGGAAAAAATCTCAAGGTATATTTGAAAAAGCTCAAATTATGATAATTTGGGGGGAAAGGGGTGTTCAAAAGTTATCCAGTATTCACAGAACCATTTGGGTGTGAATTGCTGAATGAGTACCCAACTTGTATAAAGTTCACCTAGAACACAGTAGAGTATAGCTGCCAAAAAGTGGCTAACACATGGAAAAATACGTGCACTCTCTTAGGAAGCAATTTACATATCAAAGACAGGTTTGGGTTTTAAAAAGGCGCAAGCCATTGCTAAAATTGTCCAAATGCCGAACTGGTGGTGCGGCTCACAGAAATGAGCTCCCTTTAAAAAAAAGCACTAAGTGGTCAGAGGGAGTTGGGTGGAAAGAGAAAGATATCTCTGTGTGACATAAGTATCCTCTCACTTGAGGAGAGAAGGGATGATCCTTCTAGTTGGTCCGGATATGTTCTGTCTGTCTCTTTCAGTAGCTGGAAAGGTGAAGTGGAAGAAATGCCCGAGTGCAGTCAGAACTTTTAGTGGACATTCTAACTGGGGCCTTTAGCCCTAAAGACATAAGGTCCTAGAATTCTACTGAGTACTGAGGAAAGGGATTTGGGCTCCCAGATAACTCTTGGTGATCCTGTAAGAAACAACCACCGTGAGATGGTGCTTGGCTGACAGTGGCTAAAGACAAGGGTCAGAGATACTGAAAATAGATCGTTTAAACCCTGACACCCTTTGTGGCCCACAGGAGAACCCAAGAGACAAGGAAAGTCGGGGAACCAACCACAAGATCACAGCGTTGCCCAGAGCACCCACAGCCAGGTCGACCAGCCCATCCTCATTGAGGTCCAGCTGCCCGTGGACGCTGCAGCCGAAATACTGGAGGCCAGGAGCGAGCTCGGAGGCTGAGATTCTCTGCAGAGGGTGGACAGGGAGTGCGGAGAGTAGGCATTGGTGGCTAAGGAAGGGTAGGGCCACCTTACCCTAAGGGGTGCAGCTATCATTGGGAGTCAGGGCCAGAGCCCCCTTGAAACCATCAGAAGTTTCCCCAGACCACATCTGTGCCTCCTCTGGCCTGTCATAGCCCCTACCTTCATGCACGTCCTACCGTGAAGTCATTCTTTGGGATTAAATATCGTATCTCAGAAGCCCTCATGCAGAGGGCTGACGCACGCCACATGGATGAACCTTGAAGACTTAATGATAAAGTGAAAGAAGCTAGACACACGAGCCCACACATTCTATCAATTCATGTATCTGAAATACACGGATCTGGCCATTCTATGGCGGCCAAAAGTAGATTAGTAGTTGCCAGGGATTGGGGACTAGAGAGAGAGAGGACTAATGGGGAGTAACTGCAAGTGGACACCGAATTTTTAAGGGGTACAAAAATGTTTTAAAAATTAGATTGTGATGACTTATAAACTTTGTGAATATACCCCCAAAATTCAATTACACTCTCTAAATAGGTAGAATATATAGTATGCAAATTGGATCTGGAAAGTGGGTAAAAAAAAGACTTCCCCCATTCAGTATAAATACACCTGTTATGATGAAAAATACAACTTTCCTCTGGTTCCTAAATGCTTCCTCCCCGCCCCCACTATCATGATCCAAATTCTACCTTGCAAGTCTGGCTAGACCAGAGCATGTACACGGGTACAGATAGGAACTGGAAACACAGGGAATCCAGGGCGGATGATACCTTCAGGACCAGTGGTGGGAGTGGCAATACTGGGAGGGTAGAGGGAGAGTATGCTGGAAAGAAGGAACCGATTACAAGGAACTATATGTGACCTCCTCCCTGGGGGACGGACAACAGAAAACTGGGTGAAGGGAGACATCGGACAGGGCAAGATATGACAAAATAACAGTTTGTGAATTATCAAGGGCTCATGAGGGAGGGGGGAGCAGGGAGGGAGAGGAAAAAGGAGGACCTAATGCCAGGGGCTTAAGTGGAGAGGAAATGTTTTGAGAATGATGAGGGCAATGAATGTACAAATGCGCTTTACACAATTGATGTATGTATGTATGGATTGTGATAAGAGTTGTATGAGCCCCTAATAAATAAAAAAAATTAGATTGTGATGACTTATGAAATTTGTGAATATGCCCCCAAAATTCAATTATACTCTCTAAATAGGTAGAATATATAGTATGCAAATTAGATCTGGAAAGTGGGTTAAAAAAAAAGACTTCCCCCATTCAGTATAAATACACCTGTTACCTGGGCAGGATTATATACTTAACCCAAACTCCAAACTGTTCTTGATATATTTAGCTTACGCAGTAGGAGCCCAGGTAGTGCCAGGTGAAATGGTTGGCTGCTAACAGTAGGGCATTGATTTGAAGCCACCAGGAGAGGATACGGCAGTCTGCATCTGCCAGCACTGCAGCCTTGAAAGCCACACGGACTGTGTTCCGCTGACCTGTAGGGTGCGATGAGTCCGAATCGACTCAGTGGCAGTGGACAAAATGATGACCTTGGAATATGTGGCCTGCACAGGCCAGTTCGAGGTAAGCAAGCGTGGCGGGAGAGGCGCTCTATCTGCAGTCACCTGCAAGGTGTGTGTGGAGAGGAAGTGAGGCTCAGGTGGGCCCGGGATGGGTGGGTGGATGGGTGTGTGTGTGTGTGTGTGTGTGTGTCATATATAGATAGGGAGGAAGAGGATGCTAAAAGGGATGATGGGACAAAATGCACCCATTTCAGGATTTTGACTTGAGCTAAGTATAGCGAGGGCAGACTGGAATCCCTTACTAGATGAGAACACAGAAGAAAGTCCTAACCCGTCTGACCAAGTGGGAGCCCCTGGGACTCCTAATCAGATGCCAGAAGCTGTAGAGTTAATTCTAACTGCTGGAAATGTCCCATGGGTAAGAACAGAACTGTGGTCTACAGGATTCCCAATGGTTGTTTTCGCAGAAGGAGAAAGATTTTCTTCCAAGGTTCCTATCCATCCATCATCCATCCATCCATCCATCCACTCAATCAACCTACCAACAACCCTCCCACCCACTGCTGTTGGGTCAATTCTGACTCATAGTGACCCTATAGGTCATAGACCCTATAGCCCTGTGTAAGTTTGCACCATGACCTTTCAGTTCGTGTCCTAACACGTAACCCTCTGTGCTACTAGGGCTCCTGAGCCTATCTCACCCTTCCAGAACACAAACCAAGCGGACCCACTGCGATTGCTCTGACGGGCGCTCACAGCAGCCCTGTGTAGGGTCTCTGCAATGGCACATGTTCCTGGGAACAGGCAGTCTCTTCTCTCTCCCGTGGACCCTTTCACCCCTGCTGAATTCCAGTGGCCACCTCCCGGTTTGCAGCCAAGTGTGGGGGTGCTGGGGGCTCTGCTGCTTATCCCGTGGTCTCATTTCCCACACGGAGGGAGGGTTACCTGCTTAGGCTTCTTCAGGAGCCTGGTGTGGAAGCCATGGAAGATGTAGATGACTCCTCCGTGGTTGTCCTCCAAAGGGGCCCCCACTACCACGTCATTGTAGGAATCTTGGTTGAGGTCTTGGACAGAGGCAATGGAGGCCCCGAATCGGGCATTCTGGTAACTGTGGGAGTCCTTCAATGTTCCGTTATAAACAAACCGGTTCTGCAGGACCAGGGGCAGGGAAAGGCTCAGGGGACCCAGGCAGAGACCCTCACAGCAGGCAGGCGTGACCCCACCTCCAGGCTGCAGCGTCCTCCCCACCCCCGACTTCCCTGGTTCTGTGACCCCAGCGGTGGCCCGGCCATACCTGTCTCCGGCTGTAGACGTACACCTTGCCCCTCTCCCGGCCCTCGCTGAAGTACATGGGCGCGCCCACCAGCAGGACGTCGGTCACAGTGTCGCCGTCGATGTCCACAGAGGTGATCTCACTCCCGTAGTAAGAGCCTATCTGCGGCACAGGACGGGACAGGGACAAGGAGCCGGTTGCCCCTCACACCCCCACTGGGAGGTGTGGTGAACAAAGGGGCCTCTCTCCCCTGTCTGGCCTCCCTGTCCTGCGTCTCCCTCACACTGGACTCGCCCCTTCGCTTGTCCTACACCTCCTGCGTGTCCCCTTGCGTTTATTTACGTACATTTTACAGTCTGGTTGGCATATCATTCACACATCATAGCATTCAATGGCTTAAACATTTTAAAAAGAGTCATATAACCATTTATTTTTATTGGACATTTATTCTGATTATAAAACTAATAAAGGAACAAAAATATGAAAATACCCCCTCCAAAAAAAATGATGAAGAGGCAAATAAAAGTAACTTTTAGTCCAGACCAAGAGCCCCGTCGGCAGTGCTGTGGTTAAAGGCTCCGGGGCTAACTGGAGGCTCCACAGGTCGAACCCGCCCAGCAGCTCAGGGAGCCAAGACCCGGCTCCTGCAAAGATGACAGCCTAGGGAGCCCGTGGGCAGTTCTACTTGTCACCCGGGTCACTTGAGTTGGAACTGTTGCGATGGAACACAAGACAACAACACGGGCCCAATACCCAACGATACCCGCCACACACACTTTGGTGGATTGAGGTCTAGTCTTGTACTCTTTCGCAAACCCCAACCACACGATGGCCATCGGGCCGATTCTGCCACGTAGCAGCAGACAGGACAGGGCAGAGCTGCCCCTGGGAGTTTCTGAGCCTGAGTCTTTATGGGAGTAGAAAGCCCTATCTTTCTCAGCCATGCCCAGTGATTTCTCTTCTCCAGAGCCCCTGAACTAAGCACCACCCCCATCCCCCTACCCCCGCACACGTTTTCCTGTTCCCTGGACCCCTCTGCCTCCATCCTTCCCCAAGCAAATGTCCAGTGAAACACCCCTGCCCGGTGCACTCCAAGCCAACAATGGGTGCCCCCCTCCCTGCTCCGCTCAGCCTCCCGTGATGGCCGGCTCCATCTCCCAGCCTCTGTACAGTGGGGACCCTGCCCATTAGCAACCCCTTGACATCACAGGGACTCCAAGTCACATGCCCATAAGTGGGTCAGAGGGTGGAACTAGGCTCTACAGGATTTTCAGTGGGTGGTTTTGGGGGGAGTGACTTACCAGGCCTTTTTAATGAGGTATCTCTTGTGGTCATGTGCTGGGCTGCTAACCACAAGGCCAGCAGTTTGAAACCACCAGCTGCTCCTCAGGAGAAAGAGGAGGCTTTCTACTCCCATAAAGAGTTACAGGCTCAGAAACCCCCAGGGGCAGTTCTACTGTGTCCTACAAGGTTGCCAGGAGTCAGGTTGCCTTGATGGCAGTGAGTTTGTCTTTGAGTGGCCTCGAACCCCCGCCGTTTTGGTTAGCAGGCAAGTGTCTCACCGCATTGCCCATGGAGTCGGCTTATTGCACTAGTGGGTTGCCTAGGAATGGGGAAGGTGCTCTTCCTAGGTCAGCTCCTAGGAGAAGGTGCTTTACAGCCTTGGGGCGACCCCTCTGCCCAGCTTCCTTACAGAGGCAGAAAGGACGCTCAGAGGATGTGAGCCACTAGTCCAAGACGGCAAAGCCGTCAGGATCAAGGTGGGCAGGCACCTGGTCTGTGTGACCCCAGAGCTCATAACCACCCCTCCTCTGGCCATCTCCCAGATGAGGGGGCTTTCAGAAACACTGCCTGCCAAGTGTCATCAGCAGTAACTGAGGAGAGAGCTAACACTATCGAAGAGCTGAAAGGATAGAATCAAACCCGGGGAAGGGAGCGAGGGGCCTGTGTTTAGCAATCGAGAGCAAGGGCAGGAGAGACGTGTGTGCGAACACGTGGCCTCAGCTTACATGGGGCCCCCTGATTTGGAACCCACTTAACTGAGTGCCTTCAGCACTGCGGTTTCTCATTCTGGTGGTTGGAGTGGAAACGGGCTGGGCAAATGTCACGCATTCGTCAGCAGATTCCTCCAGCTCTCGAGGCCTAGCCTTCCATTCTGAAAGAACCTGCCCTGGGCGGGGGTGGGGGTGGCTGGGAGAGGGTGCCCTGCAGGATCTGCCAGGGCTGCCCCCGGGCAGGAAGGCCACCCCCCTATAGCTCGAGGGGTTTAAGTGAGACTTGTCACCTGGGGACAAGGCAAGGGGAACGAGAGAGAATGGGGAACAACAGGTGAGGACACAGCTAGGGGCTAGGGACCTGCAGGCGCTGCCCACCCAGAGGCTCCCCCAGGCCTGGCTTTGGGCTGTAGGGATCAGGAAGTGTGGCCTGATCGAAAAGAGTCCCGCCCCAAAGTCTGGATTCGAAACCCGCCCCAGCCATGAATCTGCCATCTAATCTTGGAGAAAGCTCTGTGGCTCCCCAGGGCCCCAGCTGTCCTCAGAGACCAAAATGGCCCTGCATGGCATCAGCCTCTTCCACACCAGTGACTCCTGTCCCGGCAGCTTTCTAGTTTGCACTCATGAACATCTACCGTGATGCCCTTAGCCGTGCAGTCTGGTGGCCCACCACAGCCCCGGCAGGGCATGGTTTTCCTGCTCGACCTTGCTCACATTCCAGGAAAGGGGCTCTGCTGTGGGCAGTGCCAGAGATGGTGTCCCTTCAGCATTCCAGGCTGGGAAGCCAGAGTCTGGATGGCTCCTCTGGCCAGGGCTTTTCTTTCTGGAGAAAGGTGCCCCCAGGTTGGCCTATTGCAGGTCAATCAAGTGCCCTGGAGACACCTTTGGCCTGCAATCTCGATGCTCGTGAGGATGTGCTTCCAGTCAGAACGGATTTGTGTGAGCCTGGGGACAATCCTAAAGGAGCCCTGGTGGTGCTGTGGTTTAGGCACTGGGCTGCTAACTCGCACGAATGGTAGTTCAAACCCAGCAGCCGCTCAAGAGAAAGCTGAGGCTGCCCACTCTTGTAAAGCTCTACAGTCTCAGAAACCCTAAGGAGCAGGCCTCTTTGTCTTGGAGGGTTGATGGGAGACCGAATAGATGGCAGTGGTTTGGTTTGGGGGTCTGTTGAGAAGGAAGAGATGAACTTTCATGTCCCCTCTACTCCTGGTCTCTGCCTGTGTTCACCTGCTTGTCTGCTTGTTTGACCTGTGCCCGCCCGCCCCCACCACCCCAGCCCCTTCCTTACCTGCTCGCCCCGCAGAGCCTGGTGGATGGTGAGGCTCCGGTTGTTGAGCATGGTGAACAGGATGACTTTGCCTGTGTGGTTGAAGCGGGGTGCTCCGGCCACGTACACCCGCCCCTGCCTGGAGGACACAACCGATGTCACTGTGTAGCCTGCCGAGGAAGGAAACAAGCTGGTCTCAAGTGGGGCTCCCCAGCTGTGCCCGAGGGTGGCCAGGAAGGGCATGGCCTTGGACAAGGCCCGGCAGAAGTGCCCACGAGGGGTGGTGGTTCCCAGAGACAGCTGGGGAGGCCTGGAAGAGGCCGGGCTCTGGAAGCGAGCTTCTAGGTGGGAAGAAGCCCACCGCACCCCATCCCCTGCAGGAGGGAGTATAGGGAGCCAGGAGAGGCCATGGGAGTCTAGCAAGGTTGTTCTGGAGGAGGGAGGCAGGCCAGCTCTACTCATTTCTTTCCCACTGGACCTGCTCGGTGGGGCACTGACAGCTGGGGGCGGCTGGAAAGGTGGAGGGGACTCCTCTCTGGGTAGATAGCTGGGACCTTAGGGGATTCTTGCAGCCCCAAAGCTTGGCTGACTGGAAGGAGGGAGCTATCCTTGTGTGCAGTCTCACAGGCTCACCAGCAAAGAGGCCAGGGAGCCCAGTGACCCTTCTGGAAAAATCCATTGTGCTCTAGTTAAAGGAGCCCTCTCCTTCACACACTGTGCCCTTGGAATTGCTTTCTGGATCCCAGCTCCCTCTCGGGACCCAGTGCAGGGTGTCTTCCAGGTACTTCCTGAAGGAGGCTCCGGTCTGCCGACAACCAGACTGGTGCTGGGCCCTGGTTTTCACTTGGGCGTTGGGTCTTGTTGGCAGTTCTGGGCCATTCTGCCGTGTGTCTGTCGTGTGTCTCTGTGTCTGGTGTATCTCTGGTGTGTGTAGCTGTCTGTGGCGTGTCTGTGTGTGTCTGTATGATGTGTGTGGTGCTATGTGGTGTGTCGTGTATGCTGTGTGTGCGCTCTGGGTGTCGCATGCCCTTCAGCTCCCATGGTTCCTGCGGAATGACTTGTGAGGTACAGAAGGGCTGGCTCAGAGCCTAGGAGGGCAGGTAGGACGGGGTGGGCAGAAGAGTTTTAGACTCTTGGGGTGATGGGGCTTGGGGGTGGTGAGACCCAGAGACCTCATGGAGGGTGGCTGACAGGGCCACGCATTTCCCTCAGGGACAGACGTATGGGTGCTGGTGGTGGCGGGGTCAGCCTGGTGGGGCACAGCAAAGAATTCTTCTGGTTGAGCTTTAGGGACACGCCCTACAATAGCTCTCAGTTGTCTCCCGAGGGCTTCTGGGCTTCCCCAGAAGGAGTGATGGCGGTAGGATGATGCAAGGGCTGAGTGAGTGTCAGGGGCAGCGGTGGGCAGCAGCCCAAAGCTCAAAGCAGCCTTGAAAGTGTCCTGCTTTCCCAACGGGCTGCTGGCCGTGGCTTCAGTCCCCCGGACTCTGGCCAGCTGGTGGTCGGGGGGCCGAGCCAGGACCCGGAATCCATGTGTTCTCTCCCGAGTACGTGGGAGGAGCACAGTCTAATGCGGTGGACTCTATGGTTAAAGGAGCCCTCTCCTTCACACAGAAGCCCTGCTGGCCCTACAGGAGCCACGGTGGCATAGTGGTTACAAGCTGGGCTGCTAACTGAAAGGTCAGCAGTTTGAAACCACCATCCATCCCTCCGGAGAAAGATGAGGCTTTCGCGAGATCCACAGGGGCAGTCCTACTCTGAGTGCCTGCATGGTACACACGGGGGTGCTCTTGACTCCGGCAGAGGAATGGGGCTCGAGTGTGCTCCGAGGTGCGTTGGAAGAAAGGCCTTGCGACCTACTGCTCAACTCCAGCTGCTGGAACGAGCACAACTCCCTGACACACATGTGGTCCGCAAGTGTCCAGTCCATTGTTCTTCTGACCTTTCTAGTGTTTGGGGAGCTACCCAGGTAAGCAATCCACTCCCCATCCCCCAACTTTATTTGTGCTTTAAAGTGGGCTCTTACCTTACTTGGTATCTGTGCACATGCTCCCCGGACCCCTACCTCCTCCATTGATGAGCAGCCCGAGGGCGGGCTGTCTTCATTACCCAGAGAGTGCCCCCTGTCCTCTGACAGCGTGGGCCACGGTGCTGTTCACACAGTCTGGGTTTAATACGCCTTGAATTAAATTAAACCCAGAGCCCAGGGCCCTGATCCTGTTTGGAAATGTCTGCACTTTCCGGACAACGCCGATTCCAGCATTTTGCCCTGAGGCTGGGGACAAAAGGAGGGGTAGCCACAGTGTGGGCAGCTGAGGACCCGAGGGGCCAGGGCAGAGAGGGGATGGAGCGGTAGAGAGGATGGGCATGTGGCTATGGACGTGGGCAGCCAGGGGGACCCAGTGAGCTCTGAATTCTCCAGCTCTTTACAGCTGGCTCCCAAAGCGTCCACTGCAGATCGACTCCCGCTTCCACGGAGAGGATGAGTTTCCCCACGTGCATTTCCCCGAGGGAGACAGACAGTTTTCACTGTGAAAACCCCCAGCTGCGCGGACAGCTGTGAAGATGCACCAACGGCCGGGCCTGCCGTGTTGACACGTCCATGGGAACCCCTGTAAGGTGTGGGTGGCCTGCCGGTCATTTCTCCTGCCTGCTCACCCCGAGCTGGGTGTGCAGGGTGCCGTGCTATGGAGGAACGGGCCCTGACCACAGGAACGCAGGGTCTGGGGACTCAAATCAGCACACAACAGGCACCAAGAGGCCTCTCAAGGGGTGCAGGGGCCTGGGCTTGTGCCGCGTGCACCCCGAGCTGGGCTCTTACCCAGGTAGGCCCCGTGGTTCTTGAGCTCTTCCGGGAATTCCTTCAGGTAGGACTCGCGGTGAGGGATGACTTTGCCGCCACTGGTCTCTTTCAGCACTGCACCGTTCCAGTCGTAGGCACCGACAGCACCCAGCAGGATCCCGTCCTGGCATTGGGGAGGGGACACACATCAGCCTGTGTCCCCCAGGGGGGAGCCCGAGCCCCCTCACTGGGGGCTGCACCAGGTCCTGCGACCCGTGGAGCATCTGCCAGCCCCTTGTGGCTCGTCCCTGGTTTCTTGACTCTGAAGGAGCCGAGACCACCCTCTGTTACCATCCTATTGTGAGCACAGGATGGCCCAAGCCGATCCCGAAGGCGGGATCTTAGGGCAGAAGCAATGTTGACGCAGCAAATTTCAGCTCTAGGACCAAACCTCGATTTCTGCTGGGGCTTCAAAAGCTTTCTAAAGGATCTCTTGTGGCTTTACCTCCTTCGGCTCTCCCCGGCAGTGTCTGAGTTGCTTCCCCACGCTTAAATCCTGCCCCCTGTTCATCTATCAGCAGATACTCACTATGTGGTGCCAGGCAGGCCCGTGATCCATGTTGGAGAACCTGGCTCTGTGCTCCCAGCTCTCAAAGGCACAAGCAAATATGTAAATAAGCACATTGCAGGGGGAGGGGGAGCCAGGATGAGGTTCTCAGCGAAATTCAGATGGGAGCTGGGAGAAGCCTTTGGGGATAAACAATGGACAAGGGGGCTTCAACATGTTCATGGAGAAATGGGATAGAAAAATAGTAAGAGGTTCCCCCACCCCCTTAACGTTTCTCTTGTGAATTGGGTGAAGGCATGTCGAGGAGACCACCCCGTATTACATCCAACTCGTACACATTTTGTTTCGTGCATGACAGCTCCCCAGCGTATGAGTGTGGAAGTCTCCCACGCTCTTGTGGAAGCCCCCTGGTGCATTCAGACACACAAGAGCAGAAGAGACGGCTGGTGCAAAGGCCCCGTGGTTGCAGAGAGCTGAGAGTGTTTGCTTTCAAGGATTTCTGAGGGAGAGGGGGCTGAGTGACTGCAGATGAGGCTGGGCAGGTAGGCCAGGCCATGTCTGGGACAGCCCACACCCAGGGGAGAAGAGCTTGTCTTTCCATGCTAGAGGGTCTCCTACTGTCCACCTCCTGTTTACAGACCAGGGAGATGCTCAGTGTTTGGGCAGGAAGACAGAATGGCCCCAAGGTCATTTCCTAGCACTGGGGTCACACACTCTCTGGGTTACCTGTGGTGCAACCCGCCCCACGGCATGATCCACTCAACTAGTGGGGACAGAAGAAGGGAGAGAAACAGGGGAAAAGGAGACGTTCTGAGGGTCAGGGAGGGGCCCGAGGAGGGCCTAGCGGTGCCAGCCTCGGGTTCCATTCTTTTTAAAACACCAGCCAGTGAACTCAACAGTCCCCGCCCCTTCCTTGGGGCCCAAGGCACCCAGCCTGCCACACCCCGCATCTCCCAACTCCATATTTTTCTATTGGTAATAGAAAAATGTGCCTGGTGGTAATTTTTGCTGCTGATGGTGGAGGGGCCAAGACAGCTGAGCTTTGAGCATCACTCAAGAGTTAAGCTGAATTCAGGCAGCAGGGCTCCCAAAGCCCTGGAGGCAGCGCTCACTGTGCAGTCTTTGCACAGCTATGAATCCAGCTGTTCCCGGAGAGTCTACCCCCACGTTTGGTTATGTTGAACTCCAACCCACTTTCTAATTAGCCTACTTTCTCCTACCCTGTGTTTGTCCCTCCGCCCGGGAGGCCGACATCAGCTGGGCCTAGGATCCAGGCCGGGGCCTCCACTACTGACTGCCCCCAAAGTCACTGCCCGAACACATTCCCGTGTGGAGGGCATGCTCCCTTCTTCGTCTTGCCTCCTGCTGGAGCCCATTTGGATTCAGAGACCAGGCCCTGCCAGGCTAGGGGACAGGTGTTCCTAACGGCACTGGACAAAAGCAGCAGCATCGGAGGTCCAGAGAGGGAAGGTGACTCGCTGGAGCTCACACAGCAAGTCAGAGGCGGGCTGGAACTACAGTCAGGTGCTTGGGCTGAGCAGAGACAAGTACACCCATCTGCTTCCCAAAGCACCCCCTGGGCCCTGCTTCCTAGGAATCCCTTTTTGCCTGAATCCCCAGCTGGGAGCAGCCTGAGGCTGGGGTCTCCCCTCTCCCTTCCCTCCAGGCCTTGCCCCTGCTGACTTAGAGTTTGAGCTCAGTTCGGGCCGCACTGCTTTGCTTCACAGGATGAAGTTTAGGGTTTGCAGATGGTGGGGACCTTGTGCCAAGACAGCTGGCTCAGCCCAGGAGTCTGGGTTTCAGCTGGGGACACCCCCCTCTCCCCCCCTCCACTGACTACCCGTGTGGGATGGGAGTTTGGGTTTCCATCAGGACTTCCTGGACCTGGCAGCCCTAGGGCAGGAGGGTGATTGCCCTGGGATTCCACCTCACACCACTGATTACAACTCTTGCAGTGACTGCAGACTTGCACCTCCAGTGGGGATGAGTTTGGGGAGTCTTTCCTTTAGAGAGGGTTCAGAGGGGGAAGGGAGAGTAAGGCTATTACTGGGGACCAGGTGCAGTGAAGAGTGGGTGAGGCCACAGCACGTCACTGTCTATTCCCAGCAGGGGAAGCCCAGCCGTTTAGCATGTGGGAAAATCCAGAAGGGTGGGGGCCATCCCTGCTGTAGAGCACCAATGTCCAGACAGGGGAACCAGAGACGCTGGCCCAGCTGGAAAACCAAAGGGGATTGGCCCTCTGGTCTGTGGACTGACACTGCCTCCCGCCCCCTGTTTTGTGGCCTCTTCCCCTGTGGGGCCACCAGGCTCCCAGTAGGCCTGACCAGTGGGTGGCTGTGTCTGATGCACTGTGCACAGAGCAGACTCTTGAGACATGGCCAAGGATGCAGGCTGGGCGGCTGTCACCAGTGCCAAGGCCAAGTCCATGCCTTCCTGGTGGCCCAGGCCTGCCTCTGCCACTGGCTCCTGCCAGCTCAGCTCTTAGCGACCTTCTGCCCTGGCCCCTGCAGGAGTCTGCCTTCCTGGCCACAGTGTCCGTGCTGCTAAACATCCTACAATGGGCAGGACAGCCCAACACAGAACTGCCCAGCTCCAAGCACCAACAGTGCCCATAGGCTGAGCCCCCTGGGCTGGGGGGCAGGCATTTCGGCATTCCAAGACTAGCTCCAAGCCTACAGCTGTGTGACCCAGGGCAAGTCAATCTAGGTTGGTTTTTGTATGGCCGGATCAATACCAGGCTGGCTTCTAGCAGCAAGTGACCTTGAGTCTCCCCCACCCGTGCGGAGCTGACCAGAGCTAGCTGACACAACTAGCAGCAAGTGGCCTTGAATCTCCCACACACACCTGCGGAGCTGACCAGAGCTGGCTAATGGCCCGCTCTGTTCTCGACCTGCCACTCTGCACCCGGCACCGGCACCGGCACTGGCATGGCCCGTTTGGCTCAATGCCCACTTTGCTCTCGACCCTCCACTCTGCACCCACCACGGCCCGTTTGGCTCAGTGCCCGTTTTGTTCTTGCCTGCCGCTCTGCACCCTGCACGAACACACCCGGAACCAGGAAGACACCTTACATTCCAGAAACGCGGACGTACCAGTCCATTAACCAGCAGCCCTGTAGCCTGCAGTGCGACTACCCAAGTCTGGACGTTATAGCTAGGTTTTTCTCCCTAATAAAGCCTGTTTGTTCTAATTTGACTGATTTGGTTTCTGGCGCCTCTCGAACTACTTAACAGGTTTCTTCAGGAATGTGTGCTTTTAATGCTTACCGCGGTGTCCATGAACAGGTACGGTCACGGAAACCAGCAGACAATGCCTATTAGGTCGCTATTAGGTCACCGAGAGTCGACATCAACTTGTTGGCAATGAGTTCAGTTTTGAGTTTATCCCTTTAAGGGAGCAGACTGCCATACTTTTTCCCCATGCAGCGGCTGGTGGGTTCGAACCCCTGACTTTCTGGTTATAGCAGGCCAGCATGTAGCCGCGGCACCTGCAGGGCTCCTCCTTGACTTAGTAGGATGTTTCAGAGCGAAGGCTTTCAGTTCCTAGCCTCAAGATTCAAGTCCACCAATATTTTTCAAACATCGACTCCAGACAGAGGTTCAGAAAGGCTATAGGATTCGTCTGAAGCCAGAAAATGTGCTCCTTTCTTGCCTTGCAGTAATGGAATTGGTATCGCAGATGCCAGCAGTGCTTTCTGTCTGCTTGTATTGAATTTTGAGAGGCAAGGCTTGTGCAGAGCGGGGAGACAACTGCTGGCCTGGCCCTGTGTACTGGTGAGGTAGCGGTGTGGTTGGAGGGGCACTCGGTGACCCCCCACCCTGAATCGGAGCCCATATTGCCCTCCCTGTACCTGTTCAGAGCGGCTCTATAGGGAGCAGGCTCGGCTTCTAGGGTGCAAATCTGTGATTGGGAGGGGTGGGGATCTGTAGTCATTAAGGAGTCCGACGATGGTGTGGTTGATAAGCAAAAGGTTGGTCTTCCAATCCACCCAGGAGCTCTTCAGGAGGACAACCTGGGGACCTCCTCCCACAAAGATGTCCGCCAAGAAAACCCCACAGGGCAGTTCAACTGTCTCAAGGGGGTGCTAGCAGTGGACGCCAGCTTCAACAACAACAACAACAACATGTTGGAACGAGCTGCTCGAACCCTGTCATGAGAAAGTTTGTTGTTGCCAACATGGGCAAAGTGACACCTGAGGAATGGCCAGGAGCTTTGCATGGGATTGGCAGGGAAGACCTAGCCGTGGGCCCTCGCTCTTCCTGTGGGGAGGAGATCTGCCCCGTGGATGCGTGCTTGGGGCCGGGCTGCCTGTGGTAAGTGGCTGAGACCACTCCTTTGGGTTGGATGGCTGGGACTCTCCGCAAAGAGGCCCCAGGATGCAGCCTCAGCACCGGGCACTGTGGCACAGCGTGAGTCGGTCGGTTAGACTCACGGTGACAGCCTACTGAATTGTCACTTGGCCCTGAGCCACCTCCACGATGGTGGCCACGTTGAGTCCATCATTGTGGTCATGGGGAGTGGTGCCTTCTGACCCAGAAGCCTCTGCTTCTAGCTCTAGATGCAACAGTGTCCGGGGCTGCCTCCGGTCTAAAATTAACCAGAAGGAAGGCCCGCCGCCAGGAGCTGATGTACGTACGAGCAGTTGAGAACAGCATACAGGCAGACCGTGGTTACCATGTCCCAGCCACCCAAGGGGGTCGGGGGATGGCTGTGCCCGCCCAAGCTGGCAGGTGGGGGGCCCGCCATTCAAGGCTATGGGGTTCGTGTCAGGAGACTCCAATGGGGTCTCGGCTCACACCACCAACCCCTCGCTCCACCAGCAGGGATCGACTTCTTCCATTTCCCAGGGAATTGGAAATAGAAAGCTAGTTCCCCAACCAAGCTTCAAAGAAAGACGAGCGCATAAGCTTCAACAGCTAAGAACCCCAGCACCCAATAACATCGCCGCCCAGGCACAAGTTCAGGAGGCTCTCAGGAAGCGCAGGCGTTGGAGAGGGAGGGTGGTCGGGGCTGCGGGGCTGGAGGGCAGGAGGCCCCCCACCCTGAACTTGCCTGAGAGTCGTGGACCCTGAGGAGCAAGAGAAAAGAGACCTCATCCTCAGGCTAAAGGAAAACCATCTCCCACCCTGCTTGGTAAGTCACCAACTTGTATGATTG